TGTAAGAAGGCAGTATTTCTAGTGCATTTGATTTTAGCAATGCACATCAAGAAGAGCGTCAAAAATTGTTGATTGACTTTCTTGAAGCTTTTAGTTGGCGTAAAACCCATCCTTAGTTATCCAAAAAGTTGGTCAAATACCAGGGTTTTCTAGAATGATTTTTTTGAGTTTGCTGATGTGAATGGTGCTCTCAACCAGCTTTTTATATAACTATTAACCTAAATTAAATTATCGAGCATGACTGATTCTGTGGTCATTGAATCATTGAAATAAAAAAGCGAATGCAATTGAGTAATTACCCTTCTTAAAAATTAACCTCATTGTATGTTTCTCTAGACCTAAACCGAACAAACGGCATATTGCAACCCTCAAACTTTTGGAACATTACGTATACCTCTAATTCAAATATTATTTTCAGCACAAAATTATATGGTTACTATTTTTTTGGAATAATTTTGTCCTCTATGGTTATAATGATGTTCTAAGGGGGCGAGCCTTTGCTCCATAACGCCTGCCCCCCGATTCCTGCTTTGTTTTTTTTTTCTTAATCTTTTGTAAGTCCTTGAGTTTTATAATCCAATTGTCGTGCTTAGATTGGTAAGTAAAGAGGCTCATAGTTCATTTACCCACATGTTTTGTAAATTTTGTTTGTCTTGGTGTATTGAAGATAAAAGTTAGTCAGATTCCCTCACCATCTACTACTGTAAATTTGCTTCTTGTCGGTCTTCGATTTTAAAATAAAAATTCACGTCTTTCAGATTCGTATCTGCCGCTGGTCATCCTTTCAAACCCAGTTCATTTGATAGATCGGTTATCTCAACTTAGCACATATCGCTCTCAAGGTATCACAATGCCGTGAGTATAATCCAGTTCTGATTTCTTGCAATTAATATTAAACTTTCTGTTTCTTTTTCAGTGAAGAGTTCAACCAGTTCGCCTATAAGAAGTATTACTGGAAAGCATGGTATATTATAATGATGTGAATATGTGCTGGTGAGACACATTTTTTTGATTGGTCCGACTTTATTGGTGTCTCATTCTCATTATAATCTAAAGGAAAAGTCAGCGGTGAAATGGAGAAGATTCATGCGACATATCCTCAGCTGCGCTTATTTATTCATATGGTACTTGTAAAGTGAGTTGAGCACCACAAATGTTTTTATGATTCTTTGCTTTGCAAGTTGGCTTTTTTAATCTCAGTTCAGGTCATTTCGTTTTCCGTTAGAGTTTGAAGGGAAAACACCAGAAGAATGGGATACTG